TGTAAATGGTGCAATTTTTAAGATCAAAGAGCTGTCTGGAAGAGATGGCAACCGTTAGAAACGTGTAAGTTTAAACTGGTTTAATGAAATCTAAGTACAACAGTAAATAGAAAGAAAGCATCAGGAGTAATGTTATGAGTTAGAAGCTCAGTTGATGAGATAAAAAGATGTAGCAGGAAGTTACAGCTAAGCAGAACTGAAATATGGATGTGGCTGAAGGTGTAGAAGCAGCAATATTTTACACCTTACATATTCAGCTATTATGAATAGATGGACATTTCTGGTTTAGTATTTTTCCTTCTGCAATATTTTACCCTGTTCTAGACAGAAAGTTCAAGACTGCAGAAGTCTTTATCCATGTTAATTTCTTGAGTTCCTATGCAGGTTTTGTGTTTGATTACATATGTTATGTTTTGCTCTCTTCTACTCTTGTTTGTATTAAAATAGCAGAGATACAAACGAGTTATGTAATACTATTACTCCTCGCAACTGTAAAGACATTTTGCCTTTGCTTCTTACTGTTCTAGCAATGCTGAACCAAACAGAGGTCAGTGAATTCCTCCTTTTGGGTCTCACCAATATCCAGGGGCTGCAGCACTTTTTCTTCACCTCCTTTCTGCTGCTCTACTCGGCCACTCTTCTGGGAAACGGCATCATTGTGATCGTGGTGATATCTGAGCCCCGGCTCCACACACCAATGTACTTCTTCCTGGGGAACCTGTCCTGCCTGGATATGTTCCTCTCCACAGTCACTGTTCCGAAGATGTTGACTGGCTTCCTCTTTGGGCACCAGCCCATCTCTTTTGGGGGGTGCTTGGCCCAGCTGCACTTCTTCCACTTCCTGGGCAGCACAGAGGCTGTGCTCCTGGCCGGGATGGCCTACGACCGATACGTGGCCATTTGCAACCCTCTGCACTATGCCCTGGTCATGAGCCCACGGACTTGTCTGCTGCTGGCTGTGGCCAGCTGGTCCACTGGGTTTGTACATGCTGTGGTGCACTCAGTCATGACCTCTCAGCTGAGTTTCTGTGGCCACAACCAAATTCAGCACTTCTTCTGTGACATCAAGCCACTGCTGAATTTGGCTTGCAGTAGGACCAGACTCAACATGACACTCCTCAATGTTGTTACCACATCTATTGTTTTAGGGCCCTTCACTCTCGTAGTCCCTTCCTACCTCTATATTATCTCCTTCCTCTTCTATAAAGTCCAGTCCCAGGAAGGAAGATGGAAACTCTTCTCCACCTGTGCCTCCCATCTCACTGTTGTAGTACTGTTTTATATTCCAGTGCTCCTCAATTATACACCACCCTCCTCAGGAAACTCCACTCAAATGGATGTGCAAGTGACTCTCATATACAGTGCTGTCACTCCAGCTCTGAACCCCTTAATCTACACACTTAGGAACCAGGAGGTGAAAACTGCCCTGAGAAAAACCTTAAGGAGAAAAGTCTTTCCTGGAGGAAAGTGACTGAAACAAGGAGAAGACTCAGAATATGGCTGCTCCACCTCTCTTATTTACAAGGAGAAAGGTAAAAAGGACACCACACTGCAAGAGACTGTAAAACTACTGATTATCTCATGCGGTTTGACACATTTAGAAGTTAATTGTGTAGATCTACATCAGGAGAGATATTCCTAGCTTGTAAGCAGCTAAAAGTTAGGTCAGGGAAGTCTTCTTCTAGGGAATATTCAAGGATAATTTCTGTGACTTTACTTGTAGTCAGTTTCTACAGACAATCTTAGTGACAATTACTCCTTAGGAGAGCATGGAGTCCTTCCTTCTGAGGCACAACCACCTCTGAAGTAACAAGCTGGGAATTTCAGAAATCAGCAATACTACTGTTTGTTGCTTCTCTTTGATACGGTTTTCTCTCAAAGGAGAAGAAAGGGAAGAAACTACACTCAGCCCATTGGATTCCCCTCCCACTTCAGAAAAGTGAAGGAAGATCATAGGCAAGAAAAAATAATCCAGCCCTCCTGGAAATAGCATGAAAATACAATTTTTTGTTTAATTTTGCTGCAAGATCACAAAAGTTCCCCTTTGTGGGCCAGGGAATACAGCAGATTAATGACCATAAGTGATTATTTACTCTATCCACCTGCCTCTCTTCGTGGTTCTTGACAAGTGAGGTCATTGGCTAGTTTCATTTTGGGCTATGGTTAGTTGCTGTCATTCATCCTGAAGCAAAATGTTTTAGCTTGTTCATATCCTCTTAATGTCTTAAAATTAAAGTTTTGTTTTAAATGTATATATTGACCTATTTCTAAATGAAAAGTTGTTGTTTGGAAATTAAAAATACACAATTCTGGTAAAAAAAACCTTTTTTCCCCTGAATTTTAATCCTTTAATTTGGTTGCCAAGGTTGCTTTTCTAAAGATGACTGAAATCAAGCAAATATTCCCCATATTCCCCATGCATCTATTATTATATTTTTCATTTTTTGAAAAAAAGTAGAGCCCATGTGTGCATGAGTTGTGTTCTTATTACTTTAGCTATCTCACTATTCACAATACTTTCTTTCTCCACTAATAAAAATTCTTATTTCCCTGCCTATCTACCTGTCAAATATTTTTTACATCAGCTTGATAATTGTCTTACCAAATATTTGTCTGTTTAATTCTTGGATGAGCACCATCACTGACCCCCACCTTTGCTCTCTCATGTTATGATGCTCATATCTATGCATTGGTTTGAGTGTCTTCTCATCATGTGCCTGCCTCTGGCAACACAGCCTGTGTTGGTTATGTTGGTTTGTGGTCGTGAAAGAGTTTGAAAGTGTTCATCTTCAAAGTGTTAGAAAATGCTATTTGGTTTTTTTGAAAATTTTATCTGCGTCACAGTTTTTGGTACAGTTTTACCTGAGCATGCAGGTAATTTTACAAGTGCAGCACCTGTGGCAATTGGAGCTGTCACTAGATTTGCAATGCAGTGTTGTTTCTGAGGATGGTGAGAGGGACGATTTTATCATGGACATCTTTGTGACTCCTGAAGGAAACAGCCAAAGACACAGATTCCACAAGCTGCTTAACCACAAAGATAACTTTGCTTGGTTTTGTTTGACAGCATCAACCTCCATTGGAGAATGATGCTTACTAGGTTCATTTGGAGTATATTAATTGACATCATGTCTTGAATAAGAAACAAGAAATCCTCTGTTGCATCATTAAAAAGTTGAAGTAGAGCAAACCTTTCTCAAAGACTGTTTCTCCTATTAGCCACCTGATGACTGTAACAGAGAATTAGCAGTAAGAGAAAGTTTGTTCCAGCGTACTTGATCTACCAAGCCCTTGGGTAAAAATTACACAGGGTGAAGGATGGTGAACTTTATTGTAGTTTTAATGGGGCCTGTGAGGTTATTAGTGATGGAACAACTGAAGTGGCTCTCCCAAGAGGCAGGATCAGAAAATCCTAGCATGGTTACAGGAAAATAAAGGAAGGAACAAATGCTTTCACCAAGCAGCTCCTTTGATATGTCCTGTCACAGAAAGGGGCCAAGTGCTGGCCCACACCGAGACCTTTTCAGGCCTCGTGTGCCTCAGACTTCTCTCTGGTCAGTGTGGGACTTGCAGAGGAGACCTCCAGGCTCCCAGGATGCCTGGGCAGAGGTGTATGAGCCTGGCCCACACATCACTGCTGTCCCAGCCTTGGTGCCCCCCTGCCCTGTGGTCCCGGGCTCAAGCACTGCTGCTCTGTCCTGATACACAACCCTCACCTTTCATGGCACCCTCTGGCCCAGCTTTGCCCCTTATGTTCTCTGCAGTGAATAACAGCAGTCCCAAAGATCCCTGCACCCCTACTGAGTGTGATCAGAGTAGGAACAGCTAACATAAAATCATAGAATCACAGAATCACAGAATGGTTTGAGTTGGGAGGGACCTTAAAGACCATCTTGCTCCACCACCCTGCCATGGACAGAGACAGCTTCCACTAGACCAGGTTGCTCCAAGCTCCATCCAACCTGGCCTTGAACACTTCTAGGGACAGGGCAGCCACAGCTTCCCTGTGCCAGGGCCTCACTACTCTCACAGCCAAGAATTCCTTCCCAATATCCCATCTAACCCTTCCCTCTGGTAGCGGGAAGCCATTCCCTCTCATCCTGTCTCTCCAGACCCTTGTTCAAATTCCCTCTCCAGCTCTCTTGGAGCCCCTTTAGGCCCTGGAAGGGGCTCTAAGATCATGTGATAGATCCACATTTTTGCAAAATTCAAAAAAATAGGGTCTGCAAACAAAAACTGCTACTGCAGGTGATACCATGTTCTGAATTTCAACATCCACCATCTACCCTTGCAAAGTGAATAAGAAGCCATCTGCATCAGCTTCCATGTCTCCCATTATCCTTCCAAAGATGGCCCACTTTATCCTCTGTCTTCCTTTTATTACCAGCTTAGAGGTTGTAGCCAGGTGGGGGTTGGTCTCTTCTCCCAGGCAACCAGCAGTAGGACAAGAGAGCACGGTCTTAAGCTGTGCCAGGGGAGGTTTTGGTTGGATATGAGGAAGAAACTTTTTACAGAGGGAGTAATCAGACATTGGAATGGGCTGCCCAGGGAGGTGGTGGATTCACTGTCCCTGGAGGTTTTCAAGATGAGACTGGATACGGCACTCAGTGCCATGGTCTGGTAACCACGGAGGTGTTGGATCAAGGGTTGGACTGGTTGATCTCTGAGGTCTTTTCCAACCTGGCTGGTTCTATGATTCTATAATTCTATTCTATGATACAGTAGAACTGACACAGTGGCTACTTGGTGAGAAACCAGGGGTATCCCGTGGGGAAGTCAACAGGCAGATTTTGTATTTTTGAGACAGATCTATTCCATCTCATGTCAGCAATCAAGAAGGATGACATTCAGCCTCTGCAGCTCCGTAGGGGTCCAAGTCACTGTGGCAGAAATTGGTCTTTCAGACTGTTTTGTCTACACTCCCCTCTAGCGGTGTTTCCGTAATACAACACCCCCTCGTGATTTTGGAGGGACTTCACTTTTTCTTGTGATCTTTGAATTTTCCCTTGCTCTTATGACATTTTTTCTTTTCGAGGTTCACCAAGCAGATGCAGAGTTGTGCTTTGCCAAGAGATCAAGCTGTTTCTGCCCGGCCTTGCAGCCTGAACACCGACTAACAAATTTCGGTGGACCCGACCTTCTTAAATGCCAGCTGGGAGGCTGCGGTACAAAATCAGGACCTGGAACAATCATCTCGCTTATTTGTGATACCACAGCTAGGAGGAAGAAGCCCTGTGGAGAAAGAAGATGGAGCAGCATCTCCAGAGGACACCTGAATTAGCCTCACAGGCATCTGCCTGGCACTGAATCCAGGCCCTAGTCAGGTTTAGATGTCAACACAGCAGTGCTGACTTGGTAACAATGATGATCATCACAGTAATCTCTAGTTCAATCATCGTTCTATCTATCCACATAATTCCATTCAGGCCCAAAAAGTGATCAAAGTGTAGGCTAAAAAAGAGCTAATTCCAACCAGAGTGTACGGGGAAAAGAATGGTTATTTATGTTATTTATGAGGCTGATGACAACAACCTCTCCAAGGCTTTTGTTTGCTTGATTATCCCCTGGGGTGTTTCACTGGTCTCAGCTCTGAAAAGGATTTTAAGGAGTGAAGGGGTAGGAGGAACAGTCCCTACCTGATAGAATGGCAGAGCTGGTATATTCAGTTGGCTAAATAAAAAAAAAAAGGAAAATCTGAAAATTATTGAGGGGACAACACACACGACATGTTTTTGCAAACACAGAGCTCTAATCTTCTTCTTTTTCCCTTTGTTCCCAAGAAAATCAAGATCTTCATGAAAATAAAGCTGTATACAAAAACCTCAAGAAGTCAAAGAGCTTTTACTTGGATTTCAATGTTCCTGTGTCTTCAGGTAAGAAACAGTGCTGAAGGTTTTGTTGACTGACACAGAAACAGGCCACACTTCCACCATTTTCAGTGGTCAGATGTTAGAAAACTAACTAAAAATTTGGGGTTTGAATGCATGAGAGTTTAAGGGAAATTTTAAAATTAGTTCTGTGGAAAGAAGTGTGCAAGTCTTGCAAAGTTACACTATTGTATGAGGGCAGAGGAGCAGAATTCCCCATTCCCCTGCTGCCCACTCTGTGGGATCAGCCCTGGACATGGAGGGTTTCTGGGTTCCAGCACACATGGCCAGGGCATGTCCATGAGCTTCTCGTCAGCCAGCACCCCCAGGTCCTTCTACCCGGGGCTGTTCTCCATCCATTTCCCCTCAGCCTGTGTTTGTGCTGGGATTGCCCCTGCCCAGGGGCAGGACCTTGCCCTTGGCCATGTTGAACTTCATGAGGTTTGCATGGTCCCATCTCTCCAGTCCAGCCAGAACCCTCTGGATGACATCTCTTCCCTCCAGTGTGTCAAACACACCACTGACTGACTGATCTGTAGCTCCCTGGGTCTTCTTTGCTTCTGCTTTTAAATGTGAGGGTTATGTTTCCTCTTTTCCAGGCAGTGGGAACTTCACTGGAAACTTCACTGGATTGCTACAACCTGTCAAATGTGGCTTAGACACTTGTTTCCCACAAGATGCACGGATGTGTCTCGTCATCTCCCATGGAGTTGGGCACCTTCAGCCCCCTTGGATGGTCCTGTACCTGATCCTCTCCTCATTCTCCCACTCCTGCCTTTGCCTCCTGTGACTCAGGCAGTGTGGATGGAGCACTTGCTGGTGAAGATCAAGGTAAAAAAAGCCATGGAGTACCTCATTCTTCTCCAAGTCCCACATAACCAGATCTCTTTCTTTCCAGAGAGGACCCACATTTTATCCCCAACATATATATATAGAAGCTTTTTTTGTTGCCCTTGGTATCCTTGGCCAGGTTTAACTTTTTTCAAGGCTTTAGCTCTCCTAACTTGATCTCTGCCTGCTCAGACTCTTTTTCTATATTCCTCTCAGGCTACCTGACCTTGCATCCACCCTCTGTTGTCTCCCTGTACCAGTTTACCCTTAACCACAGTATTGTGGCTAGTTTGAGCACTGATTTTTTTTTAAGAAAATCCAGAAAAAATTCTTCAAAGCCCCAGGATTTTTGGAAAATCAGATTTGTAAGGGAATCTAGAGAATGACAGAGGAGAGGAAAATAAAAAAGAGCACTATGACAAGCAGTAGGATTTATCTGAACTGTATTTTTCTGATTGAGCACCTGGCTAGTGAAATCTCTCTGATTTCTCAGTGACAAGAAATCGGTCCTTTCAAAAGATTACTTACTCTGTCTTTTTTAGGTGAATTAAACTCCTTAAATTTGTTCTACCTCTTGACAAGAATGAAGGATGAGACAATTGCAAAGTGCTTTTGTTTGTGAGTGTTTCAGGGGTTTTTTTGACAGGGTAAACATATGTGGAGGATGGTATACATGTCCTTCATACTTCTTTTCATTGAAGGAAGTTGAATTGTTTTTCAAATAAGATTTGAAATGTGTTTGAAATGCCAAATTTGAATTGTTCTTCAAATAAGAAAAATGTCTGCACAAGAAGTCAAGCTATATACCTATAAATAGTGAATATATAATATACATCAATGACATCAATACTTACTAACAATGCAAATACAGCTATGTCACTGCTGGAGCAATCTGACCAAATATTTATTTTCTTCACAACAGAAATGAATATGGCAAAACTTGTGACAGCAACTTGATTTTTAATTTGCTTGCACAGGCTGGAAACATGCTAGAAAGCACCCTTGTGCCAGAGAAGAAACATGGACATCAGTTCAGTTGCAGGTACTCCTCTTAGTACGTGGAGTAATAATTAATGTGACTCTTGAGTGTGTGAGAAATCTTTTTGTAAAAATTACATGACAGGTCTGGTGATGCAAAGACTTTTTTACTCTTGGTTTCTCTATTCTGTGAGGAAATTTTCGTTATTTTCCTAACTGTAGAGGTCTTCATTGCTGGTAGCATTTCCTGACTTAACACTAGAACAAAAGTTATGGCAAATCAAGAGTGGAAAAATGGAACAGTTGTTACAGAGTTCATCCTCCTAGATTTTGGGAATGGCCCTGAACTGGATTGTTTTCTCTTCCTGATGTTTCTGTCGATCTACTTGGTGACCATAACTGGGAACACGTGCGTCGTTGTGCTGGTGGTGGTTAACCAGCACCTCCACACCCCAATGTACTTCTTCCTGGGCAATTTGGCCTGCTTGGAAATCTGCTACAGCTCCAATATCTTGCCAAGGATGTTGCTCAGCTACGCAGGTGGAGACAGGCGCATTTCAGTCAGGGGGTGTTTCACACAGTACTATTTCTTCGGCTGCCTGGCAGGTGCAGAGTGTTACCTGCTGGCCGCGATGTCCTACGACCGGTACCTGGCGGTGTGTGAGCCCCTGCACTACCCATCCCGCATGGACACCAAGCTCTGCCTCCGCCTGGGCGCTGCGTCCTGGGTCAGTGGCTTTCTGTCCAATTCCATACTGACGTTCCTGATCTCAAATTTGGATTTCTGTGGGCCGAATGAAATCGACCACTTTTTCTGCGACTCCTTCCCGGTGATGAAACTCTCTTGCAGCGACACGCGGGTGGCGGGATTTGTCACTTCTGTCGTGGCAGGTGTGTGCTCGCTGCCTCCATTCCTGTTGACCTTCTCATCCTATCTCCACATCATTGCCACAGTCGTGAGAATTCCTTCTGCCACTGGAAGGAAAAAGGCCTTTTCCACTTGCTCCTCACATCTGATTGTGGTGATTCTTTTTTACTGGTCAATAGTAGTTGTCTACATACTCCCTTTTCACGATACCCACATACTGCCAAACAAAGTCTTCTCTGCTTTTTACACCATTCTCACCCCCTTGGTCAACCCTCTCATCTACAGTCTGAGAAACAAAGAAATAAAGAAAGCTCTGCAGAAGCATATGAGAAAATTGCTGGCTTTCTGAAGGCCGCTTTCTGTAACAAAAAATAAGGGGTAATGATCCTTAATGAGTTACAGACACAATTACATTGCGTGTGAATGTAGTTAGTGTGAATAAAGCTTGGAAATATGTAGGTGTATCTCTTAAAAAAATATAACCAGAGGAACAAAATGGGTAAATAATCTTGCTATCAGTGGGGGGGGGTGGTCTGGGGAGAGATAAAGAATATGCGGTGTGCACTGTAAAGTAAGCAAAATAAATCTATGAATGTCATTATATACATATTATTGGATTTGATATCTTCTTACCAGTCTGCTTGCTTGCTTGCTTTTTCCTCACTACAGCTGAAACTCAGTTCAGAATAAGTTGAAACACAATTTATAGCAAATAGACCATTTTTTATTAATGGTATGTTCAGGTTACTTTTAGTTTTAACACCCACGGTGTATCTGTTCAACCATAGACTCTTTAGCTGAAGGACACGCTGCTGCTGATACCTGCCTCATAATAAAAAGAGACAGCTGCCTTCAGAGGTGATGTACCCATCCTCAAATGTCCAAAACAAGTGGTCTGTTTTGGTTTGGGGTTCCTTTCTGTCCACCAAAACTGACCTGATTAATAATTCAAACAAGGCAGCCAGCAAAGAGTGTTTTTGTCCTCCCATTATCTTCAAATGGAGATTCACATTTTGTTATTTACACTTTAAATTTAAATGTTAACCCAATCATTGTTAACTTTATTGCCACTACTCATATAAGATTAAAAAGCAAAAATAAAGTCACCTTCCATTAACTTAAATTGTTTGCAGTTTGCTACCAAGGGAGATGTTTTGCCTTCTGAGTATATCTGGTAATGAGTCCAGAGAGGGATTCCTATCTCAGGAAGCAATGCAAGATACCATGTAGTTCTAAGCAGTTGAACCTCACCCCCTTTTTGGGATTCTACAGGAAACTACTCACAGTCCTGATGTGCTGCCCAAAAGGCAAAAATCACGAACAATGACTCAAATCTAAGCTGGGGGATGACACTCCAGCAAGTGTGAGAAGTGTGAAGGAATGTGGGAAAGCAGGGAGTTTCCCATAGGGCAAGCTCTGCAAGGGAAAAGATATGGGCAGGGGCTGCAGTAGCAGGCATATTCTGTTAGATGCCACATATCCAGAGCATATGGACACAGCTCTTGAGACAGAACAGCCCTGAGAGGATTGGAGCACCCCAGGAGATCTCTAGTTCATCTTATCCTCAAAGCAGGGTCAGCTGTTGGGGTGAGACCACATTGTTCAGTCAGCTGGGTCTGTCAGAGGCTGCAGAACCTCCCTGCATGACCTACTCCACTGCTTGACTGTCTTTAAGGTCAAAAAGGTCATATACATGGCTTCTCCACCTTCTGCACCACCTGCAGCTTCTGCAGCAGCCCAGTTCTTGGACCCAGCAGTGGCTCAGAGGTGAGAGGTCCCTTTCTCTGAGCATGGCCCTTGTACACACTTCAGTACTACTCCCATGGGGCAAATACTGATGGTACAAGGCAGAAACATCTCAGTAGGGTTGTCAGCTCTTGGAGACAGTCATCCTAGGACACAAGAAGAGGAAAGGGTTTACCCAAAAGATTGGAGTGACAGTTGTGGCATGACACCAGCCCTCCAGAGGTCCACCCCACCTTCTTGTGCCCATCAGAAACAGGCTCTGAGAGTGAAGAGGGAGGAAGTCACTGCCAGAAACCCAGAGCGAAACGGGCTCCATGCCAAGTAAGCAGATGGGTGACAACCTTAGCTTCTCCTCAAAATGAGGAGCCACACAGCAGCGTGTCCTCCTTTTGCCCCCTGAGTCTGGCTCTCATGGGGCTGGTGGGAACACACTGGTGCTGTTTGTGGTAGATATGAGGTGTGTGATGTGCTGAGTAGCTCTGGTCCCAGAATTTATATTCTCTTCTGGATTTTTTTCCAAAAATAATAAAATCTCCCACTGACAGCAGTGTTGCAAGCCAGGCCCCCCAGTTTGTGAGAAACTTGTGCAAAAGTCCACCCACCTTCCTTAATATGTCCCCATTAGGATACTTGCCTGTTTTCCCAAAATCTTGTGTACAGATAGTAACATATGACAGGTGAATGGCAGCTCCTTCCAGGCTGGCCAGAAAATAGAAGATTCCAGATGGGCTTTGTCTCTGTCATTGAAAACTGGGAAATAAACTCTCCAACCAGTTTGTTGGGTTAGGAAGCCAACATTTCTTTATTCCACACACTGGAATAATGCACACCCAGCAACCAAAGAGACCAAGTTGTAGCCATGAAACTAATACATACTCACTACATTCCTATTACATATTAATTACATTCTTGAATACATGCATATATGATAATTATTTCTGTGGACTTATTTAGATATGAGCAGGGGTCTTTTGAGGGTCTTTGGTGGTCTTTGGGGAACATCCCATTCCCCAAATTTCCCTTTTATTGTTCCAGATCTCCTAATGAGTATCTCAGATACGTGATCAGGTCATGATGCACTTCTCTTACCATTCTTTGCTCTGGCACTCCGTCTTTGTTCTCAAAACTAAGACATATAAGACTAGTACACATTAGTTAATTAATTAATTAATTATAAGACATAAGACTAGTGCATATTAATCACTGATACAGGTAAATAAGGGAGCATTATCTGGGACAAGACTATTAGTCACAGATATAGAGCGTTAACACAAAGCCACATTAATCTCTGGTATTCATACCAGGCACTATGTGGTAACCATGGCAAACACTCTTGTGCTAAAAGTTAAAAGAATTTTCCAACATCTTCCCCCGCTGCTGCGTAGAACCCTTTTTAAAGAAATTTGCCGTGTTCGGTAACGTCTCCGTTCAGCTTTCAGCGGGGGGACGTGGAGCGAGTTCCTGGGAGAAAGGCAAAGCTCCGACAGCAGGTCGGACAGCCGCGCACCACAGCGGTTCATCCGTTGTCACCCCTCGTGAGGGGACAGCGGGGCTGTCGCGGTCACCCCGCTGGGTGCGGGGCCACCACCGTGCCCGCGGGCCCCCCGCGCTGCGCGTCGGGCCTGGCGGGGCAGGAACGGGGATCTTGACGGCAAAAAAAGCCGGTAGAGTGACAGCAGAGTGGCGCAGCGGGAGCGTGCTGGGCCCATAACCCAGAGGTCGATGGATCGAAACCATCCTCTGCTAGTTTTTTCTTTTTTTTGGCCCCTTTTGGGGCCCCGGGGCCGCGGCGGGGCAGGAGGCGGTGAGGCAGGGAGGGCGACAGTGGCCGGTTAGCTCAGTTGGTTAGAGCGTGGTGCTAATAACGCCAAGGTCGCGGGTTCGATCCCCGTACGGGCCATCGTGGCTTTGTCTGGGTCTTGGTCGCCTTTTTTCCCCCTCTTTTTTCCCCTCCCTTTTGTGGCAGTGACGGTGCAAGGGAGACAGTCTGTAGGTCCTGGCAGAAGGTTCCCCAGCAAAGCTTGTAGTCTCTCCCCCTACTTTCCCTATTCCTCCTTTTGCAGGTGTTCATTCCTATTCAAGGATAAACTTCACTGGATGTTCATGACAGTGCACCGGCTCCAGCAGCCCTGCAGACAGTGACCTGCGACTGACCTCAGCTGTGCCATGGATGGAGTTTGGTGTGCAGCACCTCTGCGTGGTGGCTGTGGTGGGGCAGGTCAGACTCCGACCACTGAGGGTTATTGTGACTGGATCTGACCACTGATCAGATTCAGCTGGGATATAGGTGGAGCCCAGATGGGCAGGGAGGGCAGCAGTTAGTTCTCCTTGAAAGATGACAGCTGGGGACCCTCCCCTTGGGTCAGGACCAAGGTAACTCCATGAAGTTGTGAGTCCCCAACTTACCATAGGAGTGTTTGCACATTCTGTGTTATCCTTCTAAAATCCTGAGAATTCTGAAGTCACTTGGGTAGTACCAATTCCACTTGACATCACAAATCTCTATTCAAACGTTGACAGAGCTTTAATTGGTTTGATTGGCTTACCTGCTTATATTACTTATTACTGGCTTATAAAACAAATCTCATTTGAATATAAAATTGTCTTGATTTTATAAGCCTCCAGGACAGTGTTACAGCAAATGATGCCCATTTAAACAGTGAAGAGTTATTGAAAACCAGCTTTGCACAGAAAGTCACCAATTAGCGTGCAACACGTGCACCTGATTAAGCATCCTAATAGTGACAAATGTCCATGTCCCCAGCAGTGTATCCCCTGGAAGCACATACCCTCAGATGGTAGATGGGCAGTTAGATGCTACACAGCTCCTGTCATATCCTTATCTCTTAATTTTCCCACATTTAAGGCTCCCTAAACCACCTTGATACCTTCTTTTCCCCACCTTTGGTTCCTCCCTCTAACCATCCCATAATAAGTCTTGTACAATCCCCAAATGCTCTTCCCTTGCATCCCATAATGTGTCCCTCACCCCTAGGCAGTCACCCCCTCAGCAGAAGAAGTGACCTGCAGAGTGGCCCCATTGGCCATCAGGGTGGGAGCTCCTCCTGGGCCCACCTACAGCCCCACGAGCAGCCAGGACAGGGGATCCCTGGCACCGTGGAGACTCCCAGGGCTCCTCCACCTCTCATTGCCCCTCTCCTCCTCTTCACTCACAGAGATGAGCTTTTAGTCACATAACCTAAGGCTGTCTCATGGCATGGGGGGGCTCCCTGCAGCCCTGGCTGACCCCACCACCCCTCATCCCTGCCCTGTCCATTCTGGAGTGCCCCTTGCACCAATCTCAGGGGACACACAACCCCCAGAACCCTGATCTGAGGTGCCATGGGGGACCCCAAGGTGCTGCACCCCAGCCAGTGCAGCCCCACAGCAGCATCTTCAGCTTTGCAGGGCCTGGAGGGAACAAGGCTGAGGCTATGAGGGGTCAGAAATGGGCTTGGGGGTCAGGGACACGGCTCTAAGAGTGGGTGTCAGGGATGCAGTTGGAACTCAGGCATGGGATGTAGCTCTGGGGTGTCAGGATGGACTGCCCCTGAGCATGAAGGTAATCCTTGACTATAAACCTCCTTTCTTGAGTGCCACTTCCCTCCAGGGCTTGTTCCCATGGGACTGTATCAAGCAGATCCCACAGAGACCAAACTCTGCTCTCCTGAAGGCCAGCACTGGGATCATTCGTGCCTGGCCACCTCCCCTCATAGCCCCTGCCCCCACAGCTGCCTGGAGATGCTCTGGAATGATGAATGGGAACACCTGAGCCCTAACAAACCCATTTACTTGTTTCAGGTACTTCTCTTGCCTCCCTTATCTGGCACAACCTCCTCTTTTGACCTGGCTCACGAGGCAAAGGGGACTGTAACACTTTATAATCACACCAGCACTGGGAGGACTGCCATGGGAAAGGTCCACCTGATTTCAGATATAATGCTAAAACCCCGTAAACAGGCACAGGAGGGGAATAGGGCAAGAACAAATGAAAGAACACTTCCTAACAGACTGTGTGGCCAAAGAAGTTTTGGAAATAAAAACCAACAGTCCTGTATTACAAATCATGTTTATTGGTTAATACACACAACACAAGCAGATTTAACAAACATATTTTATATACATTGTCAAGTATTAAAATCCATCTAGTTCCAAGGCCTTTTAGGTACTGTTGCCTCCCCCAGTGTTCTTCCCAGAGGCTCCAGCCTTCTGCATCCGGCTGGCACTGGGCTGTCGGGGCATCCTCTGGGCAGATCCTTCCCTGCTGCTCCTTTCTGCCAGAACCTGGGTCCCACTGATGGCAGAGCTGGTTTTATTTCTCCCTGAATAAACAAACACATCCATTAATTTTCACATCCCAACCCAAGCATCAGGCACACAGCAGCTAAGGGCAAGCTTTCCTTCAGGAACCATGCAAGAGGCAAAATCCTGTTGAATCCCGCAAACGTGTTCAGCACCCAGCACAGGAAGCGGATTGGTGAATTCAGCCCAACAGGGATCAGCACCACAAAACCCAAACATGTTGCAGCAGGAGCATTTTTCCTTTTCATCAGGTTTAATCTACAAAGTAACCAGCCACTTGGTTCCACTCATTCCACATGGGAACAGCAGCATGGCAAACAGCACTGCTGGGATACCAAGAGCTTCCAACACCTCCAGCTCGGATAAGTGAATGGATGTGTCAGTGCACACCAGTGTCTGAGGCTGTCACCACACCATCAGATCACAAACACTTCTCCCCATGTCACTTCTGTCAATCCATGAGCAGGTCTGGATTTCCTATCATTTTCTGGGATTTCCAGGAGCTCAGACTCCTGCCTAGGACTTAGAGATGTTCTTACTGAGTTCAGAAGAGTTTCAGAGTTTGCCTCCTGTGGGCACAAACCGTCTCCAGATGGCAAAGCGAGAGCAAGGAGCAGCAGTGGGTACACAGGTGGGAGCTGAGGGAAGCAAAGGGCACATGGCTCACGGTGCTGGATCCAGCAGAGGAGAAAGCAACAGGCTCTGTGTGCAGACACAGATGTCCAGAGGGGATAAAGGGAGGGTCACTGACTTTCCCTGCGCTGAAGAAAACTGCTTCAGGTGAGAAGTAGGACTTGCATTAGGAAAGAGAATAAAAGGAATGCGATGTGAAGGGTCGCAGCTTCTAAAGACAGCAACCTCCACGAAGCATCATAAAACTTCATAATAGCATGGAGGAAATAGAACAGGAATACACTGAGCTGTAGTTACATGCATGCAATTAAAATGAAGAGTGACATCTTGGCAATAGTTATCAGAGCAACTTCCACAATACCAACAGCTGCTCCACACTCTGGAGTCTCCAAGGGCACGGTTTGGAAATCATCATCTTGGATCACTTGTGCTATGCACAGCACACACAGTTACTTACCAAACCATCCTCTCTCCTTGGAGCAGCTGTCTGGGAACAGGACTCACATCAATACCACCAGTTAACACCCTGGTGTACCAGAAAGACAATCTATGAACTTCCAAATAAGAGTATGTGGCCACTACGTGTCTGTAAAATCTGGGTGGCAAAAAAAAAAAAAAATCCATTCACTTATCCCAGCCAAGTCAGGTGCTCTTAAAAAACTCTCTTAAGGTAAAGCACAGTAGTGACGTGCCAGCAGTCACCATCCCAAGCCAGCCAACCAGCCTTGCCAGCTGCCTTGTAGCTCAGGCATTTTTAAGCAGCTTCACTAGTGCAAGTGTTGACCATGAAAACAAACACATTGCCAAAGGCAATAGGTGATCTCAGAGTATTTGAGAGAAAAAGTGACAGGAATAAAAAGCATTATTCACTAAGATGCTTTTAGCAATCCAGGACAGCTCTTCAGGTGATTGCCCTCCCCTTTGTCACATGCATCTGTCTGGTGAGAGGGCAGGGCCTCAACCCTCACCCATGTACAGACAACTCCAGCCATGTGCATATACACAGGGGTACCATTAGAACACTACTGGAGTCAAGCCCTGGATGTTCTGACCCAGCTGAAACTACCTGGGCAGAAAGAGTCACTTGATTGAAGAGAAACTGCATTCAAAAGTACGTGCCCTCCATCCCCTTAGCCTTGAGATCACAGGGAAACAAACCAGTTAAACAGCATAAAAACTCAGTATATTTTTGGAAGTACCCTGTGTTGACTTGTGAACCAGCTCCTGAAGTGTGCAAGGATAGGAATGGTTTGTGCTTCCCTCAGTTACACTATCAGAGATAACAGATTCAGTTACAGGAAGGACAAAAGCAGCTCAACAACCACAAACTAATTCAAGCACTACAGAGGAACAAAAGGATTCCACCGGTATTTTCCTTGGGGACACAACAGGTCCTTATCTTGAATGTGTCTGGCTTCACAGAACAACTGCAGCCCAGACAGCTAAGGATGCAAGAGACAAGAGAGCCTAATCAAACACCTGCCTCCCCAACGGTGACTCCAGAAACAGCAGCTCTGCATTTATCTTCTCGAGAGCCAGACAGTTTGGAAGAATAGTATGTGCACACAAGCAGTCTTAAGTACCAGAGGGAGAAAAAAGTACTGCCTTGTGTCAAGCAGGAGGTAAGAGAAGATCAATCAGCTTTAGGAAAGGAACCCCAACCCCAAATATGATTTGAGAAGTAGAAATCGAAAGCTCCACTCTTTCAGTCTCCTCTCTACTCAACCTACCTGCTTTCCTCAAGGGATCCTTTCCTGCCTCTGAGCAGTAACAGGGACTACAAATCTTCCTCTCAGTGGTAAATAAATAAATAAATGTCTTATTGGTACCTTTACTTGTAGCCCAGTCAGCGATACCAGGGGTGCAGCACTCTCAAGATATCTCCTGCAGTGCATATTGATATATTGGCACTGACTATGGCCTAGAGCCACCACCATGAGAGCACTTTTAAATTCACCAAAATTTTGCTCCTGTTTCTGTCTTGCATTAAGTCTTACTGCAGCCATAGAAAACCAGCTGGCTTTTCTAGACTAAGAAAGACTCAGTTTTAGGTGGGAATAGAAAAAAACAAACCCTGTGTAAGCACGAGGTGTTACCTGGAGGACCACACAAACACCTTCTGGCCAGTCACTGGAAATGAGGACAGGGACAGGACTCACTTCAAACCTCAACACCTCCCACCCATGGAACAATCCCAGGCACAGCCAGACTTCACTCCACAAGCACTCCCAGTATGTGACCATGGCTCACTACACTCAATCCATTGCCAAACTGCCAGGTTTGCCCCCAGATTCCTGCTCACATCCCTACACAAACGTCCTTCTCTTCTGCAACACAACCTGGGAAATTCTCAGGTCCTCAAAACTGCTGCCACATCCTCAACAGCTAATACACACCCTGAACTCTCTCCAGAGCCAAAACATCACCCCAAATCATTCACCTCTCCTGCTCTCTTGAGGGAGGGCTCCCTTCCAGGCTGCTCAGCAGAGCCACAGGAGCTCCTCTCCCATCACTGATCATTATGAAATGCACTGGTCTTTTCCCTACAAATCCTCACAAGTCCCTGGTTGCTCCTTATTTTAGTAGTTTTCACCATCACACTTGGGATATCTCATTTCCTTCCCTTCTCCTGCACGTAGATTACAGAAAGAGAAGATGGTCTCTCATTTTTTTCAGAGAACTCTATTGAGTCTATATTTATAAGATTTTTTTGAGTGTTTCTTTGATAGGGTGAGGGGGGAAGAATGAGTTGTCACTCAATGAGTTATCAATCAAACTCATATCTCATTACTTTGCCACAAAGCCACACATGACAAGTCTGGCATTTACTGTATTCTTCTAAATCCGTTTCCTTTCTGTCAGTTCTCGCCTCACTGAGCATAAAAAAGAAAAAAAACCCCAAGCTTGAAAAGCAGCCTGAAAAGACATTCTGAAAACTTAACTCAATGCCCAGCAGAGAGCAAAACTCAGAGCATCAGGTAAACCGGCAAACCTTCCACAGGGGAAGTGTGACAGCAGAGAGACCTACATGGCCATCTATTCTATTGGAGCCTCATCAGGTTTTGATTCCAGCCTAGATTTTTTGTAAGTTGTTCCTAGGATAAGGAGGAAGAAATAAAAGCTGTTTGTGTGCTGTTTCTGCTGAAGTAGAAAAGACTATTTCGCTACCCATCCACCTGTGTTTTGAGAGTATCAAAATTTATCATAAACCCCCTGGGAGAGGAAAGGTGCAGGAACTTTTAACCAAGGGAATTTCAACCATCCAAGAAAGCACAGTACAGCTGAGAATTTTTTTTATCAGTTCTAAAACAACTGACATCATATGATAATTTCTGTACCACAAGATGACAAAGGTCTATAAATCGAAGGTATTCAGTTGCTGATGGACTAACGAAATGCCTACAATACAGAAGCATTATTTCAAAAAGTGCATTTTGGAATGTGAGCCTGGGGGAAGGGAGAGGGACAGCAACAACACACCAAGAATGCTCTGAGCATAAAACTTGACCTGTGTATTTACCATGTCCATCATTTCACAAAACAAGAATAAGGCCTCTAATTCAAAAGGCTTAAACTCTACTGTTTATGGGAGGAAAAGCTGGAACGAGTGAGAGTTGCAGGATAAGATCCAGAAAGCAACCTAAATGCTCCTTAGGAAATGCAGGAAATCCACTCATTGGAGTAGTCTTGTCAGAGTACTGGAAAAAAACTGAGTATGAGTGAAGCAACTAAGTAAGAAACCATGATCAGGACTCCGTTAGTCCTTTGATTAGTGCTACAAGTCACTGATGGATCATTCTAGAGAATTTTTTTCAGGGAAGACATACAGACCACCAAGTGCCCGAGGACGTTTCCAGGTGCATGGCACGGCTGAGAACACTTCTCTATCACTCAGATCCCATGGATATATTTAATCTGCAATTAAAGCATAACAGCCAGTATAGCCAACAGGAAAATTCACTGGGTGATTTATAAAACCCAGATTAAATAAATTTAAGGAAAATCCTTAGCAGCTCCAAGGGGATTCCCTCTGCTGTATCAGAGATCTACAGAGCATTATCCTTGTCAGCATTATCCTTATCTCCTTAATACAGGAGTCTACACTACAAATCCCACACCAAGTCCCTGAGATAACTCAAAGTTGAGTGTAAGAGGAATGCAGAGCAGCTGGCACGGCCAGCCAGCAGCACCCAAGGGCACTGGCAGCCACTGTGGGCCCACATAGCAAAGGTCACCATC